AGTGACCCTGCTTTTTCGATCTCTTTGGTCAAGTGAGTAGGTCGGAACCCTTACCACGCTTTGGCCCGCAGAGTACAGCGGTCACCAGATCGGGACGAAGTTGAACCTTCTGATTTAACCCCAAGGCACAGGTGCAATATTTTTTAAATCCGATTGTCAGAATTCGATCCGCATTCTAAAACCAGCATCTAGAATTTCCTAAGTAGTGATTATTCGACGCCACTGGAAAGGAGTCGAACACAGCTTATTAAGATACATTTCGCAACTGCTTTAAGATAGGGTACTGTATACCGCACACTCTGGCGAACATTGCATCGTTCCATTTTGCCTACTGTGGGAAGTTTCATTTTATTCAGAAGTTAGCATCGAATCTTTCGTGCACTAAACCTAAAATCATTAGAGCTTTCCGAGTACGGAGCTGTCCGCCTACTCCTCTCAGACCACAACCGGTTTTTCATTCATATCCAAGGTTTAGATGCACACATAGACTGATTTAAACCGAAGGAAATAAGTCCTTGTGCATAGTAGCTTTTTTCCACATTCACTTTTTGAGGGGACAACTGAGTCGCCATGTCGTCCATACGCTTATCTTGTTGTTATAGTCTCCATTGGGATTTAATCGATAAGTTAAGACCACTACCGTGCCTTCGACTGTGGGCTCGAGCGTGTTCCGCACTAAGCGCTCTTAAATCTGTCCACATAAGTTTGACATGGATTCCGTTGTCGATGAAGGTGCGGTCTAATTCAGAGACATTCGCGCCTTTTCAACAAATAAAAAACACCCCTTGAAACTGAGTATACAGACCTTCGGAAGATGTTATGAGGACTTGACCATCGAGAGCGACGACGTCCACTGTGTGCTCAGGACTGGTGACTTACTCGTGATTTATTTTAAAGTGAGACAGACTTGCTCAGCATCTACCGAACTCTCTCCTCCTCCCCACAAACCAAACTCCGATGGCAATGCAACCAGGGGTGGACTCGGACACAGTGACTGACAAGGCTACACCTGGTTAGTCAACATGGAAGATTCAGAAAAATTCTGGCGGTACTTTCGCGGGATTATAGAGCGTCTAATTGACTCCCATTGCCCAAGAAACGCTTGGATGATTATTTGTGTCCCCTGTTTTCCCTCGACCCCGCAAGTTTTGTTTCTCTGAGACAATGCTACTCAAATGAATCAAGTACTGTTTTAATAGCTAATATTTTCATTGTTCGTGTACAGTGATTTCTAACGAGCTGACATGTAATCAATAGGGTTTTCAAAGGCTTTGCCTATTATCATTACCAAATAAACTGAAACCAGTCTTCTACGTGTGCCACAAACAACCCTGTCCCTCGCTTATTACATTAGGTTTTCACAGAACAGGGTATGGCTCAAGTTTCGTGTGAACGGGAGTGCCATAGAGACCATATAAAAGGGTCATCAAGTCTGACCCCCAGTCTTTGAGCAAGTTACCTCACACATATTACTGACCACGAGGACCAAGTTATTCCTGTCAACTGGCAGCCTTCCAGTTCACGACCTTTGACTCATCATGGTAGTTTCGAGGGACGTCGGATTTATTGTAGTGAAGAATGCACTGAATTATCGCGGAAATGGGTTCCCCCAGCGTCGACCTCGCCAGATAGTCCTTCTCCCATTCACCAGTCCACTGTACGAGCCGGTCAGCCATCTGGCGCTTAGATTGGCCCCAGTTGCTGACAAAACTGTAGTTGGCCGTTCATCTGGTTAGGCCCCAGGTTACGCCAAAGAACATGCTTCTCACTGGTGAGAGCGGTGTCTGTTCTGCCCATGTGTCGGGTGTTGTGAGGCGGGTTCGTGTGTTGTATGTGGGCTGGTGGGCCGGGTATAGGTGTCGGGATGAATTCTGAGGTTTTTATGAATGCGCATATGGCCGAACAGGCCCAGTCGATGACGAAATATTTATGGGCAATGTGAGCGGGTGAGGCGGATGCGACGGAGGTATACTGCGGCTTCCGGCACTAGTACGCCAGTCTGAGGGAGTGACATTCGCAGGTGCCCGACCAGATCGACTCCTGATCCAAGTGTCCGGCGACAGTATGGCAGGCTGGATGAGCTGGCTGTGTGACGGCGCTAATTGAGGTGGTAACGCTGGTGGTAGTGTATTTGGTAGTACTGATGGCAGAGAAGTTCTCGAGTGAAAAAGTTCGGTTTCTCGTGACAACATTGCGGAGCATTCCGCTGTCATGTAAACCCATATTGCCTATCAGACTCATGCGATGTCCCAATGTCCTGGAGCATCGTGCTCAATTGAGGCCTGTGGGACGGGTGTATGCCGGGCTAACGGGTACATTTTTGTCAACTCTGTAGGATGGACTCGCAAGTGGCCGACAAGGCCTATGCGTGATGGTAAAGTGCGGCTGAAAGTGGGGCAGGTTGGAATTGGGTCCAAGTTGTTGGTGGTGGGGTCAGTGGCGTTAATGTTCGGCATTTCGGTAGGAATGCCCTCATTGATGATTCTTGTGGTGACGGTGCCGGTTGTATGCTGTGAGATAAGAAGAGAGTTGGGTGTGTTGACATTTTGCTGGTTTCGTTAATGTCCTGGACGGCCGATCCGTGCCCGAAATGCCCGCTGACAGTGTGGACCACGTGGTAGGATTTAAGTGCCTACGTCATTACGCCGCATCATCTGAGTTTGCAAGTCTCTTTTCTTACCTTGACATCAGTTAGTTGGCTAGCTTCAAATATTGTTGTTTTAGTCCTTACAGCAGTGCGTTATGCCTGTCCATCTTAAGCGGGGTTCTCCCGAGACTCCGAGTTGATTTGCATATGCCTGAGGGATGTTCTTAAGGTGTCCTTTTAACGACGCTTTTTTACGCCTTGTCTGCGACCCTCCGCGGCTATGTCACCGTAGAATAGCCGCCTGGAAGACGCCCGTCATCCATCCTCACGACATGTCTGCCCCGTCGCAGTTGTATCTGCCCCAGCATAGCATTAATACAGACGACTCAGGCTGCTTGCAGGGTCTTAGCGTGTGATATCCTTTCCAGCGGATGTCAATGACGCGAGCGAAGGTGCATCCACGTTGCCTTCTCCATCATCAAAAGACCGAAGGTGTTGGTCAGGAGAAGACTGTGTTCCGCACAGGCCTACAGGAGGAGATTACTACCGTCGCAGCTGCCGATCCCATGGTGACCGAGCACCCCTCCCCCCCTCAGGCAGCGTGGTTTGGGCCGACGCTGTTATAAGGATCACCAAAGACCACCAATTGTTTCGCCTTCTGCACAGTCGCCAGAAGGGTGTGCAGGTCGTAGTTGTTCTTTCCGTCATCGGAGTCGGCCACTGTTGGGGCACAGGCACTGACGGTGGTGGCGACTTTTTTCCTGCATAGTGGCAGCCTCATGATCATGAAACTGTCGTTGAGATCCTGTGGCAGGCAAGATAGACGTTTCACGTCGTCGTTCCTAGTTGCGACTACTACGCCGGTTTCTCTTCGCTCTGCACTTCCGACCTCCGCTCTAGATGAAGGTTTATCCGACACCCACCTATTCCGGTTGATCCACTTCAGCGAAGCGGTTCTCACTGGGAGTCACAACTTCCACTTTGTAGCGGGTCAGTTCGCGGGCGGTCATGACTGTTTGTCATCGGACTGTTTAAAAGGGCACGAACATTTTCAGTGGACAGTGTCACTCAGGCTACCTGTGGGTAGGCTTTGGATCAAGATAGGGGTTGTTATTCGTTAAAGTTTTTCGACCACATTTTTGTGCCCACATGTCACAGCCAGGTTGTTCACGACATGTTTGAAGAACACCGTTTCTGGTATATTGTTTATAAGTGCATCCTACCAGCACATTCGTAGTGGCACTGCTAGGCCTAGTCGGTTTCTATGCCACATCTTCCTGTATGGTGCCCACCAGCGGTGCATGTGCGTCAGGATGTATTCGCCAGTATAAGGTCGTGCAAGGTTCAACGTTGTGCAAAGCATCGATGAATATGTTTTGACTGTATAGCCGACAGTTCGACCCTCCTGACCGGCGATGTTCACCGTGTGCTCCACAGCAGGGTGAGAACAGGCACGGTGAATTGTGTGCGATTTCTTTTAAAGTGCTGGTAGACTTGCCCTACCTCGACCGCACTCTCTCCGCCTCCCCCTTCTGGGCCCGTTGTCAAGACATGGTCAGAAAGACTGGAGGTGGGACAGGGCGTAGATGGCTGGTGCGGCCGGAGCCGCCCCTAAGACTTGACGCCACACCCGGATTGGACCCCACTAGGTCGGGGTGCCATAAAGGATACATTAAGATGGAGCCATTGCAGCCTGACTCACAGACCACCAGTCTACTACTCCACACAAAAACGCTGGGTTGACTGGGAGGTCCAAGTTATCCCGTCAGTTGGCAGCCTTCCAAGCCAAGGCTTTTAGTTCATCGGATTGTTTATAGCCAAGAAAATGCGCTGAGTCGTTGATCTCAATATCTATTTTTATTCCAAACCCCAGCTACCGTTCGAACCGGGCGCAAAGTCTGACATTTGGTGACCTTATCTGCGTGCGCCACGTGGACGACTTGGCCCCCACCAATCGCGCACAACAAGATTTCGCACACAGAGGGTAGAACGTCCCGATCTCCCATGCAGCAAGAAACCGCATGGAAAACTGAGGTGAGAAGCAAATTTCCCACAGATGTGAGAAATGCCAGTGTTGAAGAATTTTGGAGAGACTTATGCATTATACAGGTGTTGATGGAGGAATTTGTGGTTGTGTGGCAGTATCTGTGGTGATTTACCGCAGGTTTTTCTGACTGAGCATGTGACTTAGTAGGCCCATGTGGTGGCTGAACGTGCAAGGGAAATGCATGCAGCTGAGGCGAGTGCGTCTGGTGTATGTTGATGCTCCTGGCATTGGTTCGTCAGTCTATGTGCGATGGATTTTCCAGTTATCGACCAGACCGATGTGCTGGATAAATGGGTGGTCGCAATGAGGGCGGGTTGGAACGAGTCCATATTGGTGGAGGTGAGGGTGGTGGTGGTGGTGAATGTGTTAGTGGCTGCTGGAAGTTTGGGATCGTTTCGGTCGATGGCGGGGGTGGTAGAGGTGACTGTTTTCGTCGTCGTCCTCGTCGTGGCAGTTGTGACAGAGATAGTGGAGGTTCTGCTGGTCGACGGCAGCGCAGCACGAAGACTCGAAGATACGTTGGTGGGAGTGGGCTCCATCGTGGTAGACGTGGAGGTTGGAGAAGGGGCGGTCGTAGAGACAGCGACTGCAGTCGTCAGGCGGTTGGTGCATTGCGTCTGAAGATGACCGACGAGGCCGATCCATGCGCGGAATGTTCGTTGGCAGTGTGGTCATGTTGTGCGGGGTTGAGTGATGATATTTCGAATCGGAGGTGGCTGAGACATGCGGGCATTCCTTATGGCTTTGTCGAAGACGACCTGGTTTACTTCGTAAATGATTGTGCCTGTCTTTACTTCTTTATTCTAGGTCGGTCTGTTCTGGACGAGGTCCCCCAAGGTCTCCAGGTTGATCTAGAGTCGTTTCAGGGAGTTCTTCAGATTATCCTTGTAGCGCCATTTTTGTTCTCTTGATCAGCGAGCACCTGTGGGGATATCTCCGTAGAAGAGTAGTTTCGGTAAACGGGCATCATCTGTTCTCATCGCAATTGCAGTTGCCTCAGTATGGTGTGGATACTGAGAATTCCGATCCGTTCCGAGAATTCCGTGCCAGAGGTCCTGTCCTGCCATCTCAGCCTTAATATTCTGCGAAGGCAGCTGAGGTAAAAGTGGTTGAGATTCCTGTCATGGCTGGAGTAGACGGTTCAGATCTCCGCTCCATACAGAAGTGTCGTCAAAATGACGGTCGTGTACACTTCCAGTTTGGTGTTCGGTTGCAGGCCGTGGTAATCTTACATGGGGACATAGAGCCGGCCGAAGTTTTGGCTAACTTTCGAGAGCCGACGGGCAACCTCGTCGTCGATTTTTTTGCTGCGCGAAAGTGCCCATCATAGATAGGTGGAAGTTGCCCTCGGTTTTGAGTTGGCCGCCGTCGACATCGAGAATTATATTGTTTTGGATGACGGTTGGCGCACGACCACCGTCTTGTCCGAAGTCGGGGCAGCCGGAGGCGAAGAGGTCCATGCTTCGTTGCATGTCCTCTTGGGTCGTGGTGTTGAGCGCGCAATCGTCGGTGAAGAGCAGGCTGTAGGCTTTGGTCGCAGATAGCCCCGTACATACACCTGTTCCTGGGAAGACGTTCGTTAGTTCCTTAGGCGATGCGTATCCTAGTGTGCTTGTCACGGTAGGCGTCCATCAACATAGCAGAGAACATGAGACTAAAGAGGATGGGAGTGAGTTGGCAGCCCTGCTTCACTCCACTGGTCACTGCGGATGCCTCGGAGATTGTCCAGTTGTCTGTGACGCGCGTTATGATACCTTCGTAGATTTGACATACTGTGTGTTTGAAGTGTTAGGGATAGGACTGTACAACTATACCGTGTGCAACCGTCCCCGTCATCCTGTACATCCCCGAAGACAGTATAATATACAGAAAAACAGATACAAACTTGAGTAGATGCCCCCAAACCGCGAATTACTGTCTGAACAAAAATTTAAAGACAAATTGAAAACAATGAAGGTGCCCCGCTTGTTCTCCACACTGGAATTTTGTCAGCCTATGTTTGCCTCTCCAAAATAACCCAAAGAATGTTGTCGGAGCCTAAACATGCTGATAAATCTTTTATTTACCTGAACGGAAGGTTCGAAAGTGTCGCACACTGTTGATGGCAGGAATCTTACAGCTCATACAAGGGAAACTGTTTATTGACTAAAAATCGAACTTACCTCCATCAGCACAGGCCATTTATGGTCCTTTGGAGCGGCAACTTACTCAACGTCTCCTCCGTTGATATTTAACTATAAAATTTCGAACCGTTGATTGAGATAAGATTCTGCCCGGACCGACTGTTTATCTTTACTGCGAAAAATTTAAAAGGTATAACTGAAAAATCGAGTGAAACTGGAATGTGTGTTCTTGACTTGTCCTTTGCCCTCTACCCCGGGCAAAGACGTGGTTTGGACCTGGGCTCCGCTGACTGTTGAGCGAATTGGCCGTTATAAGCAAATTGTAAAAATTACGTAGCTACTTTTAAAGCTACAGTAGAAAGTAACAAATACTTTGTATCAGTTTCAATTTCAGTTTATTAAGGGAAATATAGGCAAGCGCCTTTGAACTCCCTCTTGGTTACAAGTCGTCGGAGAAAAACATTGATAAATGGGAAGGTGAAAAAGGGAGTTTGTACATACTCGCGGACGGCTGGCAGCTAGTCGAAAAAGAGTAATCATTAATGGTTACTTACTAATTACAAGTAGTATAAACACGTATAAGATGGTACCGGGTTATGTGAGTGGATGTGGGGGTGGTAATTGGGAAGCTTGATGCAGGTCAAGTCTACACTTGAAGGAGTTCACACAGGAGGAGGTTACAACATCGGTAGGCAGGGCATTCCAGGCTGCAACCACTCTGTTACTGAAAAAGGACTTTCGTCCATTGGTTCTTGATTTCCCTGCGCGTAGTTTTAGGGGATGACCGCGCAAAGTGGGCGTGTTAGCTTGGGTGAAATAATCAGTGGGATCTAAACAACAGTCTAGGCCGTTGATGATGCGAAATTTTAGTATAAGGTCACCACGTAATTGCCTGTAGGAAAGGGGAAACAGGTTGAGGATTGACAGTCTGGTTTCATAGGGCAGTTCTCCCAGACCTTGTGTCATTTTGGTCGCCCGTCTCTGGACCTTCTCCAAGACGGTATAATCCTTGGCAGTCTAGGGTCTCCACGCCTGTATGGCGTATTCTAGATGAGGTCGCACGAAGGTGCCGAATATTTTGGAAAAGCAGTCAGGGTCAAATCCCATAAATGCTCGCCTAATGAGTTGCAATGTGGCCGTAGCCGATTTAGCCGCCTTCGCGCAGTGCAGTGTTGGTTTGAGTGACGATGTAATCCATACACCCAGGTCCTTCTGACTGTCAACCTGTTGCAGTGGTGTGCCGTGTAGAAAGTAGGTCCTGGGGCTGGGGGCTCTGAAGCCGCCGAGTTGAAGAAAGTTACACCTGCTTATATTGAAGGGCATAAGCCAGCGCTTCGACCAGTCTTCGAGCCTGTTCAAGTTTGCTTGCAGGTGGTCTGCGTCTGCCGCATCGTGAATAACTTTCCACAATTTTATGTCGTCGGCAAACAGGATGGCTGGAGCTCAGAAACTAGAGTCAAATTGTCATTGGAAAAGTTGTCGATGTGGTGTTCTGCCTTTCCTTCGGATGCCCTCCTTTTGCTAGTAGGCACTCATTGGGAGACACCTATACCCCAAGGATATTGAAAGCCTGTTCGAGAGCCGTTCGACATGATTTTGAAATCAGTTTCCATGAGTCAAATAGCAGATGTTTACCCTGGAAAGCAGGCAGTGCAAATAAATAGAATTAAACACCTCTTGAATAGTTCTTCGCATCTTGTGCAATCTACACAAACATTCGGATTTTGTAATCCTGCAAATTTAAAGTCCCGGTCAGGGATAGCTAATCGCAGATCGCTTTATTCGAGTATGCCACATGCGACTCGTCAGTCGAGGGCAGAGTCTGTCGAGTCCATTGTTGCTTTTTTCAAAATTGCCCTAAATCCCGTTTGCCAGTCGATTTCCAAAATTCCGATCCAACCACAGCCACTGGTCGAAATCCCTGTGTCAGCTGAGTTTAATGACAATCGGTCATTTTCTCATGCACCTATTTGTAAATAGTTTGTAATCCTTTATGCTCAACGAAGTTGGATCCTTCCTATATGAGCCATGGCTCAGTAGTACAACGTGTCAAGAAAGTACCCCATTTTTTAACTAGGACGTTATTGTATTGAAAATGTGGGGACATGGCCACTTACAGTTTCTGAACGCAGGCAGAAGATTATTTCGTCTATCGCATTATGCAAAAATAAGTCACTTATGGGACTCTTAGAGAAAACATGGTACGAAATACGCATTATTAAGTAATAATAGGCTCATTGCTGAACATGTATAGGTCAGTGCTTTATACTTTAAAGTATTGAAATCCATTTCAAAGTAAGCCTTTATATTCCAGCCATATTTAGGGGAGTGGCAATGATGAACGGGAATCTATCTGACTACCATATAAGACATTTATGAAATTGATGAATATTCATCCTAGGTGGCCGTACATGCACAAAAAACAGACGGTTCGTTGGTTTCCCATCGGTACATTGTATGCATGTACCTCAGAGAGCGGATTCAACCCAGTCTGATTTCAAACTAATTATGGATTCTCAAACCAAATATTTGCATAATGGCCATGACGAGAAGCAGGTGACCACAGAACTCCATCTGCTTAAAATTGAGCCCATGGGATCGGAAGATATACTAGCAAGACTGTTATATTCTTTCAGGCTTGAATATGCGTTTGCATGCGTGACAAGGGCGCTTGGCTAGACAAACGACACTGTCCCAGTACCTTTGGTCTACAAAGACTAGAAAACTGTGAGGTAGAATGTGCCATTTAACCCAACATCTACGCAGGACTGAAATGAATTAAAGCAACCAAAGGCACTAGCACAAATGACATGCGATAGATTCAAAGTTCTCAGAAGACACAGTTTCGCATGCGTATTCCTAGAAGTGAAAACTCCTACGGCAAGCCAAACGTGTGCAGTTGGCTGACTCAACAGTTTTGACAAAGCTAAATAGCACAAGTGTTTTTTCTTCCAGGCAGAGGCATGTGCCGCGGACAAAGATTACAGTATGTGCAAAGTTGCAACGGCGAGGCAGCCTCTTGGCACGCTAGGTGATTTCCTATAATAAATTGTGAAAAAGCATCTCCTTCATTATTAGTTGTCTCTTGCCCTTTGATTCTCTCTTGATCGTCCTATGAGAAAGGGCAGCCACAAAGTACCGGCCGTTGGAGGGCTGTAAGCGGGGGCGTTCACCACTGTCCCAAGTGGTGAGTACAGCGGTGACTTAACTTTAAAGTGCTGTCTTTCCATGTACTATGAGTAACCCGAGACGGCAATATGTACGACTTCGACTGCTGGACGTTTTTTTGAAAATGCCTGTCAAGGGCTACTCCATTACTTGCTAAATTTAGGCATAGGCGCTCACGAGTCTGTTGTGTTGCCATCAACAAACGGTGGCAGAGACTGTGACCGAGGGAGAGACAGGCAAGTATGGGACAGTAGCTGCTTCGTGCATGCTAATGTTATCCTCCTCGACCACCCGCTTTATGCTTTCTGTGTTCTACTAGGCATCTCCGGCTTTTAAGCCCACAACCGCCCGGTGTCAGCTCTTCGTTCCTCCGAGAAGCAAGGC